GTAAGTGGGCGGCGATGGGAGGGGATGGGTGGGCGGGGATGGGCGGCCATGGGCGGCCATGGGCGGGGATGGGTGGGATTGGGTGGGCGGGAATGGGTGGGCGGGGATGGGCGGCCATGGGTGGGCGGGGAATGGGTGGGCGGCGATGGGTGGGCGGGGATGGGAGGCATGTCTCTTGATATAAGGTCATATGTTGGGTAATAATAATTTAATGCATGTTACTTGGTTTTAAGGTAATATAATAATAGATTTAATGTAATATTTAGACTTTCAATATTTAAGAAGCAGTATCACATGATTATTTCAATATCTATAGAGCAGCTTGACATTAAATTATGCAATATATTTAAATGATATAAAGCTATCCACTTATTTTTCCTTATGCATGGTGGAGAGGAATCATCTCATCCACATAATTATTAACTTCATCAAATTTTCTTCACGACCTCTATCTCCTAATTCTTCCTTTATCCTCATCTTTTAATTCTCCTCTTCATTTCACTCCTTCGTATTCTCCGTCCATTGGTATTTTATCATATGTTTATTTTCATTTTCAAGATGTTTAAATACCCCTTTTAACAATCTGATAACATATCTTCTTTTTTTTTGTATGCTCGTGGATATGATATTTTTTTTTTCAGATATGATGATAACAAAGCTGTAATGTTGTTTTGGAAGATGATTAATGAAGATTATGGCTATGACAGGGATAATGGTATGATAATGGGAATGATGATGATGATGATGATGATAAGGATCATGATAATGGTAATAATGATAATATGATAATGATAATAGTAAAGATGATAATAAGGATGATAATAATGGCAAAGTTAATAATGATGATATTAGTGGTAATAGTAATAATGTCGACAATAGAAAATAGATGATGATAATAATTATAGTGATTAATAATGATAATAAAGATCCTTCTACTACTAATGATAATAATAGTACTGATGATAATGAAAATGTAAAGAATTATGATAATGAAATAATAATGATAATGATAATAATAATATGATGTTGATGATGATAATAATAATAATAATAATAATAATAATAATGATAATAATAATAATAATAATAATAATAATAATAATAATAATAATAATAATAATAAATAAATAATAATAATAATAATAATAATAATAATAATGATAATGATAATGATAATAATAGTAACGATAATAATGATGATAACGATAATAATGATGATAATAGTAATGATAACAACAACAGTAATGATAGTAATTATATTGATGATAGTGATGATGATTGTGATAATGATAATGATGATAATGATAATAATGATATAATAGAAATAAGAATTATTTTGATAACAATGGTAATAATAGTAATAACAATAACAGTAATAACGACGATAATAATGGTAATAACTGTAATCATAGTGTGAATGATCCTAATCATGATCATGATTAATATGATCACAATTATAACAACAATATCAATATACATAGCAATGATAATGATAATGATGATATTAATAATAATACTAATGAAAATAACGATGGTAATAAATAATAATAATAACGATGATCTTGCTCCTACGGCCACTATTTAATACTACTGATACTAATACAAATATTAATGATATTACTTATTTTGATATTGATACTACTAATAATACTAATTATGTTTTGATACTGATGCTGATGCGAATACTGATAATGATGATTATTGGGATTTTGATAATGACAGTGATGATGATAATGATAGCAGTGATTAAATGAATAATGATAATGTAATGATAGAATAGTAAATAATAATGAATAACGATAGTGATGATAATAATAATGATGATAGTAATAATAATGATAATGATAATGATAATAGTAATGATAATGAAGTTGGTGATATAAGTTATGATTATGACAACAATATTGATAGTAGTAAAGAGAACTATAAGGAAGATGAAAAAAGTATCGTTTTTTTTTTTTTTTTTTTTTTTTTTTTGAGGGGCGGGGGTCATTTGGAAATTTCTGGTCAATATATTACCGTAATAATACCTTTTCTGTATTCAAAAGGGTAAATATAATGATGATAAAGATATTGGCATATTTGTAATAATAATAATGATAATGATAACAACAAAAACAAAAATAGTAATTATTGATGAAGAAAAGGAAGAAAATAATGACATGAAGAAGAAGAAGAAAGAAGAAAAAAAACAAGAGTTGTAAAAAGCGGGTGTAACAACAACAACAAAAACAAAAATAGGAATTAATGATAATGAAAAGGAAGAAAATATAATAAAAAAAAAATCCAAAGAGAAAAACAACAACAACAAAAATAGAAATTAATGATGATGAAAAGGAAGAAAAACAAGAAAAAAATCCAAAGAAAAAACAAGATTTATAGAAAGCGGGTTTTGTGTAGGTGTTTACCAGGTGTCATTCCTTGGCAACAAATACGAGTCAAAATACACGTTCAAATAAGACGCTAGTTCCTATGCCTCACTCGTACAGGGTGATTCAAAAGCTGGGGGGGGGGGGGGGGGTAATTTGGGCATCCATTTGTTATGATTTTTTTTTTTTTTTGGTGAACATTTTTGTCTCATTTTCGTGTTTTTTCCGCATTATTTTGGTTCTCGTTTTTTTTTTTGCGTCTTATGGGGTGGGGTGGGGGTGGGGGGTGAAGGGAGGGGGGTGGGGGTGGGGGGAGGGGGGTGAAAGGAGGGGGTGGGGGAGGTGAATGGAGGGGATGAAGTGAGGGGATGGTGATGGCACATGGAAGGGGGAGAGGGGATGGAGGTAGGGGGGAGGGTGTGGAGGTAGGGGGGAGGGTGTGAAGGTAGGGGAGTGAGGGTGTGGAGGTAGGGGAGAGGGTGTGAAGGTAGGGGGAGAGGGGGTGGAGGTAGGGGGGGGAGGAGTATGGAAGGGGAGGGGGAGGAAAAGGGGGGGAGGAGGTACGTGAAAACCATTCACTAAAACGTCTTATAAGAAAATGACCAAGATTGGACCTCCTCCATCACCAAGACAACACATACATTTCGTCTCAAATACACGTAAATCCTCTCTCTTCTCTCTCTCTCTCTCTCTCTCTCTCTCTTCTCTCTCTCTCTCTCTCTCTCTCTCTCTCTCTCTCTCTCTCTCTCTCTCTCTCTCTCTCTCTCTCTCTCTCTCTTCTCTCTCTCTCTCTTCTCTCTCTCTCTCTCTCTCTCTCTCTCTCTCCTCTCTCCTCTCTCTCTCCTCCTCTCCTCTCCTCTCCTCTCCCTCTCTCTCTCTCCTCTCTCTCCTCTCTCTCTTCTAATCTTTAATCTTTTTTTTTAACTGATGACGATTTCGCCGCAAAATGTATGCAAATTTCCATCTATTATTTCAATCTCATTCTTTACAAGATTTTTTTTTTTTTTTTTTTTTTTTTCTTTTTTGTCGCAATTACTGCGGTTCGAGAATCAGATGTTTTACGGAATGCCGCAAGATGGCGCTCGGATTGCGGCAAAGAGAGGAATTGTTCGTCGAAGAATTTTTGTTATTTTGTTCCTTGTTCTTTTGTTCTTTTGTTCCCTTTTTCTTTTTTTTTTGTTCCTTGTTTCTTGTTTCTTTATTATTTTCTCTTTTGTTCTTTTGTTCTTTTTTTGTTCTTTTGTTCCCTTTTTCTTTGTTCTTTGTTCCTTATTCTTTGTTCTTTTGTTTCTTGTTCTTTGTTCTTTATCATTTTCTCTTTGTTCTTTTTTATTTTCTTGTTATTTGTTTCTTATTTTTGTGATTTGTTATTTTTATTTGCTCTTTGTTTTCTGTTGTTTGTTCTTTGTTTTCTGTTTTTTTTTATTGTTTGTCCTTCGTTCTCTATTTTTTGTTCATTGTTTTCATTTTTATTGTTCTTTGTTGTCTTTTATGTTGTTTATTTATTCTTTATTTTTGCTCTTTGTTACTTTTCCTTTGTTCTTTTTTATATTTTGTTCTTTGTTCTTTATCTTTGTTCTTTGTTCGTGATGATGCAGTCGCGCGAGAGAATTTTAATTGCGTCATTTCTCATGTTTTAAGAGACGTGAATGTTCGTTCTAAGAATCAACAAAGAATTACAACATACAACATATAAATTCTTAATTAAGAAATCGATAAATGATAACAAAATCCTTAATAAATAGTCATGGAATAATAAAGAAAATGATAACAAAATCTTTAATCAATAGTCATGGAACAAAAATGAATACTTTTCGTACAAAGAACAAGAAGCAGATTATGAATAGGTGAGAGAAAGTAAACAGAATAGACATGAAGGTTTTATAATGACACTCTCATTTGCATATTAGCATATTTTGGCCGAGTACTAGAATGTTCATTGTATTGAGTATTAAAGATTATATTTTTTCTCTAATTTATTTTATGTTATTCTTTTTTTTTTTAAGTATTTATTCGCTAACTTGCTTATTCCTGTTTATCCGTTTAATTATTTTTTCTTATATATATTTGTCTTGTTTATATATTTATCTATTCGTATTTGTCAGTTTTTTTATCCAATCTTTATTGATATATGTATTCTGTTCGTATTTAATCATTTATATCTATTTATCTTTTCTTGGATTTTTATATCGCTTTTAATCATCTCTTGAATTTTATATCTTTTTTCAAATCAATATATATTTTTTTTATATCGCTTTTAAATCATTTTTTTTTCTAAACTCATTTACCACTTTTTGTTTTATTTATTTTCCTTTTTTTCTTATATTCTTTCTTAACTTTTATTTATTTTCCTATTTTATTCTTATATTCTTTCTTAACTTTTATTTCCTTTCCTTTTTTATTCTTATATTCTTTCTTATCTATACGCTTTTATTCACTTTTTTCCTTCCACGACTTTCGTTCGTATGAAGACAGACAGACAGACACGCAAATATCTATTATTCTTTGAGTCTGAACGAATTAAATGAAAATGGGTGAGCATTTTAAAAGGAAAATTGAATTATCAAAAATATATGTGTTCTTTTAATTAATATCATCCTGACAAGACGACTGAGTTGTGAATGATGGCTT